ACGCCTGCATGGATTCTGTGCAGCCTGATCTGCATAAATTGACCAGCTGCGTGGGTAGTATCTGAAACAAAGCACCATGCATGATCATGGTAAAGGACTACTTACAAGTTTGAATGACTTGCTTGCAGACTCATACTAGTTCTTTCTTGTCTATCCCAAAATGATCTATTTTATGAGAAAAGTTGACATACTTTAAAATTTATTCACATTTCTATGATGTGAATAATTTGTGAACATTACCAACTGATCTATAGATATTATGTAAAATCTTACAAAAGGAAGGAAACCTGGATATACTGCTTGCAAATAATCTAATAAGTAGACAATTGTGTTGGACAAAAACGGATAGAAGATAATGATAACAACAGATTCTAACAGGTGCATGACCCTCGTTACCACGACAAGATTGCTTGTCTATGACATGGAAGTTGATAATTTGAGGAATGGAAGCAACTTATAATTGCCAGGGAATCTGCATATTCAGACCTTATTTTTGGCTACTTCATTATCTTCTACAGAAGGTTGCTTTTGCGCAAATCTAATGATTCAATCATTTATTTACCAGCGGACAAACTGCTACCTCTTTCCATTTTTCAAATTGCGCAAAGCCATGACAAGTTGTTGCCTTTCACCTTCTACTTCTGCAAATTTGAGACTTATTTCTGAATATCTCTCTTCCATTTCCTTCAATTCATGCTCCATGTAGTTGTTTTTCTCTTTCAGTAAAGCTACTTCACATAGTAATTCTGGATCAAGTATATTTTGGGTATGGCCATTGATCGTTTCTGACGCTCTCCCTGGATCAACTTCTCTACTGCAGAAGGAGCATAAAATTAAGATTTGTGTCTGCTTTATCTTTCCACAGAACTGCAGTTTCTTTTTGATAAATTTATATGAATAGATGCATAGCAATGGTTCAGTAGTCCTATTAGTTTACCTTGTTATATTTGCAATTTTGCTGGGTCCATTCTCCACAAATCTTTCTTCTGTAAAGGCATCCTGTTGGTGGTGAATGTTCTCCCTAATACAATTTCTTCCTCCAGCAACAATAATGTCCGGAGTTGCCTCCTCAGGTGGTTCATCCTCCTGTATGTCAAGACCAGCAGTTCCTTTAGAATCGTAGTGATGTTTCGTGAAGACTTCTGTGAATCTTTTTCTAAGCCGAGTTAAAAACTTGAATGAGAATACAAGATTCTAAGGTGTAGGAAAATTGTCACAAAATGTCAACAAGTTGGTTTTCAGTGGATGCGACTCATTTTATGTCTGTGCATATGTACTTAAAATGTAGGTCAATGGTTTAATAGATACTCTCTTTGTTCCATATGATTTGACAATTTGTCTTGCATGAAGATGATAGTTATAGAAAAAAGTATTAAAGTACTAGGAATTGTGAAGTATGTGCTGAAGCTCCAGGAACTGTGACATCATACTAGAAAACGAACCTGTTCCATGAATTTGGATTCTTGGAGCATGCAGAACTTGTATAGATTGTCATTATTTGTAGAAGCATCAAATACCGAGTGTCTAAAAAGGATATATATCATAGAAAATGGGATAAAATTTCCCATCAACCTGATGAATGCTTAATTGCTTATAACCTGTTTTTGAATGTCATCACTATTATTCTTTATAATATTTTCTGAATTTAATTCACTTGTAGGCATTCATTATTATTTTTGAAGAAAGGGATAGACCTAAAACATTAAGTGGACCAGTTTCTTCTCTTCTCAAGGCTTCTATATTGAAATGAGTAATATCATCACGTTTTAGGTGTGTAACTTATTTCTAATGCAAAGTACCTCTTCCTTCTCTTGGCGGTGTCCCTGTAATTTGAGCACCAACTTCATCAAGTTCTCATTTTCCAACTTTAGTTGATCTGTACTGCATCTCATTTCGTCATTCTGAAGTTGTAGCTTCTCTACTTCTGATTGTAAGGTCTCTTCTACGTTCTTCTTTTGATCCACTTCAGTCCTCAGGGGAATTAATTCCTCCAGGAACATTTCTGCTTCCCTCCTCTCTGAAGCTAGCTCTCTCTCCAATTCCTTTTCCTTGGTCAACTTTTGTTCTATCTCCATTTCAGCAGTTGATTTTTCCATTTGTTGCGCATTTGGTCTTCCAACTTCCATTGATGAAGCTTTCAGCTCAAGAACTTCTCTTTCATAATGATCTTTTGCTGATTTAAATTCTTCTTCGGATTTCTGTAGCAATTCCTCTAAAATTTTGTTCTCCTCACGCAGAATATTTGCTTCTATCACCGCATCACTGGCCAGTTTTTCTCTCTCATCAATCTTCAATGTCATTTCATCGGATAGCCTTTTTAATTCTTCTTGAAGCTTCTGAGCTGCCTTAGCATTACTCCACCTTGCCCTTCTCAATGCTTCCTCTGCTTTTACGGCCCTCTGCTCCTGCTTAACTTTGGCTTGGGTGACTGCTTCCAGATGTTCTTCAAATTCCTGTGTCTGCGTTTCCAGTTCATTCTCCAGCGTTGAAACATTTGTTTCAAGTTCGTTTATCGTATCCAATGATTTTGAGTACTGGAATGTTTGTCTTTTCATTTCTTCCTCTAGCCGCTCCACCTGGAGTTTAAAGTGCTTAACAGCGGCTAAAAATTGTGAGTGTTCTTGTTGAGTTTTCACCTTTTGCTGCTCACATTGCTCTAGGTTATGATTAATATCGTCATTTTCCTCTTTTAACAATTGACAATGGCTTTCAAGCTGATCCATCTGTGCTTTCAGCTCTTCGTTGTCTTTCTTGTAGACCTCTATTTCATTCTGTAGTTTTTCAATTGTCTGCTTCATTGCTGGAGATACATCAGCAATTTTAAGCTCCTTAGCTTTTCTATCTTCATTCTGACCAATCTTGAGATGATTTGATTCTGCAGCAGCCTCTAGCAAATCCTTATTGGACCTAACTTTTTCGGAAAGATACAAAATGTCCTTATCTTTCTGGTCCAACATTTTGTTGAGGTCTCTTACTGTAAGAATCAGTTCAGAATTTGAGTCTTCTGTCTTTTGCAGCTTCAGCATCAATTTATTATTTAAGTTCTTCTCATTCTGAAGTTTATGCCTAATTTCTTCCAATAGAGCTGTCGAACTTTTGTCGTCCGATTCTATACTATCTGAAACTACTGCATCTACCTCATCTGTGCATCTCAGTCTAAGTTTCTCACATTCGGTTTTAAGGACATCTCTCTCCTCTTTTAGGTTGGCAATGTGTCTTGACTGTTCCTGTGCCCTTTTGGTCTCTTTCCCAGTTTGCTTTCTGAGTGTCTGTAGTTCTATTTCTGACAATTCTGCCTGCCTCTCAAGCATTGTGATCTTATTTTTCATTGACTCAAAACTGTTACTTGAAGTTTCTCGGGCGTTGTCTCTCAGAAGGTCCTCCTCTGATTTGTATGTTGTATCAATTAGACTCCCATCTAAATCAGAGCCAAGCGAGCAATCTGTGGACGATCTGTGATGTAGATGTCTTTCGAGGGGATTAACTGCATTTTGGGGTGTGAACTGTTTCACAAAACTGTTTTTTGGTTGAGGATCCCATGGGACACTATTTTTCTTGAGATAATGAGATGGTTCATTCAAATTCTCACCCTGTGGAAGATGAAACAAAGAGTTCAGTTGCAATTTGCAGCTATGAGATACAAATAGTTTCTATGAAGCATGGAAATTTTAAAAGTGTTATTCTATCAGTCTAGGACAACATGGGCAAGATGTATTTGAAGCCCAGGGAATACTTGCCACATTTGCCTCTATCTGAATTGCCGAATTTGATTGCTTTTGTCATCTGCATTTTAGCTTCTCTCAAATGTTTCATGAATTTTCTATTTGGGAAAATGTAAAGTTCAATTAAATATAAGTATAGGGGGCTTAAAAAGGATTCTAATTGATGAAAACATACATGTGTAACAATAAATGATATTGTTGATAGAGATTTAAAATGTTCCTATATTTGTTGTGTATGTGTTTCCAAGTGTTTATAATGGCTTTGGCAAACAACTATCACATAAGGCTTTATTCAGATTTTTTGACATGTACCGGAAAACCTTAAACCCGTCCTCTTTCTTGTAAGTTGGATGTTCAATCCACAAGTGAACTTTAGTCCTAGGCGTGAGGGCGGGTGTTAGTGCCCCACATCGGCTATGGGTGGGGTGTTTGGTCTCTTTATATGGTCTTGGGCAATCCTCACCTCTTGAGCTAGCTTTTGGGATTGAATTAGGCCCCAGGTCCATTTGTTTATCAATGCAAAAGTATATAAATATGAGATCTTACTTCAATAGATGTACACTGTCCATTTCCATAATGACCATCGCTTCCTAGTTCTGTTTCAAAACTCTGATCGAGAGATTCAGTCCTTGAAATTTCACTATCTTCACTGCACCTGAATTTTTTTTGTTAAAACTCTACTTTAGTACTCAAACTTGTAGATAATTGAAGCCAGGATGATAACATGTTTATTGTGGTGTGAAATGCTTAATCACCTGGTCCCATGAGCTCCTTGCATATTCTGTACTGCGACCTGTTTCAAATGTATATCTTTAGAACAACACAGTTTAATGTAAAGGCTTTTGTTTGCTTTGTTAGCAAAAATTATGACAAAGTTCCCATTCTTAGACAATCTATTTTCTGTTTGGTTTCCCATTTGAGGTGCAGAGAGTGCATGTCTGTGTGTGTGCATGTTAGGGAGAGGAGATAGAGGACATACATGTAAAATTGCGCCAGTCTCCAGTGGCATTAGGGGTAGAGATACTACCAAGGTTTCAGTTGCCTCTACCAAATCGGCAAAATCGAGACCAACTTCTCCCAGGAAACCTGATTTTGATGATCCCTGAGATAACATCATGTCTACGAGTAGTGAGCAAATATTCCAACAGAAAATGGTCAGAGTGCACATGGAGTTTGCAATTCTGTAACTTACAGATGCCACAGCAAAGTAGTAAATATTTTGTTTAATTTGTCCTGTTTTTGGATCCCTGACTAATTTCACTGTTTCGTAGATAGGATTCTCCCATGAACAGGTTCCTTCAACAATTGCTGCTTTTCCTAGTCTCACTGTTGGCTTTCCGGCATCTGCTGGAACTAATGAAATCATTAGTTTTTTGGCTTTTAGCTGAGGCACCTGAAATCATCATAATGTGTGAGATTCGTATTAGTATAGCTTATATTGAATCAAGCTTTTAGAGACTGCAATCATCCTGAATATGCTGTATTGGTTACTAGATGCAGTTAACAGAATTTGAGAAGAAACTGACCCTTATGAAATGGAAGGGAGAAAAAAAAAACTTTCCACCATCCTGTCATCATACCTGTGTTACTTGAAATTGCATTCTGAATACAGCTTTGATCTTCTCCTTTTTCCATTTTGATGATTTGAACATGATTGTTAAATCAGAAAATGAATCTGCTTGACCTTTCTTTGGAATTTGAGAAAAGTTGACTGCTTCACTTTACTCTGTATTTGTTTTTTTTTTTTGGTTTCAGAGTAGAGATAAAGCTGTCTTCTAGGCTCTAGTTGAAGTTTGCAGATGCTTTGCTTGGTGTAAAAGTTGAAAGAAGAAAAGAAAATGAATATAATAAAATATGCAATGTGAGTATCAGATAACAACAGCTAAATGTGTCGTACTTTTTTGAGTACATAATGGAAGGAATACCTTTATTTTAGTTGAAGTAAAGAGATCATGAGTAAGTGCCCTGCTATGACACAGCAATTCTTTTATGGCACAAGCTTGTCTTCCTTTTCTTTATGTGGGACTCACTGATCCGAATCCAGACTGTCATATGAGTAGAATAATTTTTTTCCCATGAAAGGTCAAACTGTTTTCTGTCTCCACCTTCAGTATTAAGAAGTTAGCTAACTTTTTAACCGAGTAATGCAAAGTTTTAGTTGTAAAGAGACGTGGATGTATACTTATAGAAGTTGAGATCTTTACTCAATAATGACTTCCTCTTTTTAGTAGACATTTGCCTTTGTTCTGCTGTCATTAGTAAGTTGAGATACCGAACTTTGTTTCTGAAATGGAAGGTATTTTTCATTCTATTTTAATCTTTCTCTTGTTTAAGCTGCAAAGTTCAGATCTGCAACAATTGATAGTTTATTGTTATTGGGTTTCTTTCTGACACTTACAGTCCGATTTGAGATACAGATGACCAGAAAAAAGGGTAGGTTGGTAAAATATGATGCTACCACTGAACTGATTTGGGTTTTTCCTGATGTGCCCCCAAAGACCCAATAAAGACACTGTTAAGACTATAACACTGTTGACTTCTTAGTCTATATATGCCATTCTTGTGTAATTGCATAACAACGGTACTCTTATTGTTGGTTCCTGCATCCTTGCAATTGTGATCTGCAAATGCGATTTTTCACGTGATGTAACGTGGCATCCATACCCTCCACCCTACCCTCTTTCTTCCCCAAATTCATACAAGAGAATTATCCTTTTTTTTTTTTGTTTCACCCAACCACATATACTTGTACTAGAGTAGACTGTCTATATTACATCTCTTGGGCTGCGACCATGTTTAAATGCAAGATGTTTTGTGTACCCGATTGTCATTTTTAACGATGAAAACAAGATTAGAGTTTTAAAATTTAATATATATTCTCAATAGTGTAAAGAACTTTCATATGTTTAATGTAAATTTGATTAACTTGCCAATTGTTTCTTTGGTTGATTGATTCTTAAAGATAAGCATTCAAACAGTAACATAAGCAATGATATATAATCATTTTCTGCTAGTTTGATTGCATGAGTCCTTGTATATCACAAGTGACCTAAGAAAAAGAATCCTAAATCAAAATGTTTAAGAGTCGTGTGATGGGTGAAGATCCAGCACAATACAATATAATCTGCCGTGGAAGCTCCATATCCAGGAAGAAGGAAGATGACGGACACTGTCATGTGTTATCTAGTTTCTACTTCCAATTGTCCATCTACACGTTTATTCTACATTGTGTGGATGTTGGTAGATGTAAACGTTGCCAATTAAATGGTAAGCTTTAATTGCGGAATGATAATATTTAAGGTCCGGCACGTGCTGAGAACAGTCCCTACACAACTATTCATGTGAGTTGCATTATTATTAATTGAATGCACCGAGAAAACCGTTTGTTTTTTCCATCTTGGCCTTCTCGTTATTCTCCCCCACTTTCTCGTTAATCAAAAAAATAAAATTTATAATCTTAAACAAGTCATAATACTTGTATAGTTATTAAATATTTGAAACTTACGTTTTAAATATTCCATGTAGCTATAAAAGTTTCTAAAGGTAAAATGAGTAAATACAAATTTAAATTGCTTCAAAAAATAAAAATGTGTTATTTTTTTTAATATGGACTAATATAAAAAATTTATCAAATAAATGAGAACTGAGTGAGTAATAATTTGAATTGCAACTGATATTTTAAGTTAATTTTTCACTTAAAAATTTACAAGCATTCTTGAGAAAATAAATGAGTGACTGCAACTTTAGTTGAGATGATTTTAATATCAATCAATTAGATTCAATTCTAAATTATTCGACGTTAACTATGTGAATCCTTTATATACGTTCATCGTATATGCTAATATGATAAATATATCATCTATTATGTTATAATGAATGTAAGAACTGTATGTTACCTCACATTGGTAAAGAGAATGGTAGCGGACTGAAGTGTAACTTGGTAATGTCTAAATTAAAGAAGAGAAGCATTTTTCCAAAGAGAAAAGCAGTTCTTTTTTTGAGTTTTGAAATCTTTTCTCATAGAAATTACATCTCAAACAAACACTTTTTGTAACAGTATTTCCTAAACTCAACAACTGAGTTAGCAAACTCTATTTCAAACTAGTAAGGATACTCCGTGCTGCGCACGGGCCCAATAACATCGTATATTATTGTTGATCCCAAACTATTATCTAAAAAATAAATTTTAAAACAAACTTATTTCTTGATAAGGTTACGTTAAATAGCATGATTAATTTTGTCAAACTTACATATTCTGACAATACAAATTTTAACATCATAGAAAGCTTCAATTTTCATATAATAATTCAAATAAAAGATATAATTGTTCAAAGGAAAATGTATAGATCAAATAAAAAAAGATAGCTAGATTGGGGTGACAACCCAAGAATTACTACAAAATTATCCTTTTTATTTTACCACTTTTGTTTTGAGTCCTTTATAAATTTGCTAAGAATTCTTCTTTTCAACATTTGATCATCAGATTCTTCTAGTTATTTTTCACCTTTTGTGTCTTCTTGTGATTAGAAATTCATTTTTAAACTTGTAAACTTTATGTTGATCCTCAAAGTGTATGATAGAAAAGTAATTTTTTATTGGTAGAGAAATTCAATATCATTAAACTGGCATTTGTTATCACTTTTTTTCCCAGATATTTTCGAAAAAGTAATTACATTAGATTTTCATTTGCGAAGCACATTTTTCTTTATACATATGTCTACTTCAATCTATAATTCGAACACACTTATGTTATTAATAGTGGTTTGCGACTTTGCATCCAAATATTCAATCAAAGACCCTAAGTATGTGACAATAGCAATGGCATTAACAAAATCAAGCACCCCAATGTTTAAATCTCTTCATAAGTCTTCATAAACAAAACTAACAAGCTATACCCCTTTCTATTTTTCATTACCAAAATTTTTATTTTAAAATATTTGGAATACATTTTCATACATGGTTGATTTGGATGAAGTTTAATCTTTGAGATATTACTTATATATAAAGCGTTCGTCTCTTTAAAAATATTCCCTTAGATCACATCAGTTGAAATATCACTATTCAAATTGAACAAAAATAATTTTCTCTCAACGGAGATGAACTCCTCTTTGAATTATAATCTCCTTCCTTGATTTTAATTATGCCTAATTTTATATTAACTAAGCAATTACACGTGCAAAGAAAAAGGTCAAACTATGTAATTATTTTAAATTGCAGGCAAATTAAATTTTAAACTCTATATTTATCTAATATTGTGATATAAATTTTATCCAAATGCCAACAATAAGTACAATTGTTTAATACTTTTTCTAGAGAAAATAATATAAAAATATTAATACCTCATAGAATCACATAAAGTTTGAACAAGCAATGTTTAGCTCGGTGAATACGATGGAGATAGTAGCGAAGCATTATGTTAAACTTTTTTTGAGGAATATTTCTACTAAAATAAAAAAATTCACTCATAATATAATTTCTTCTTTACAAATAAAACTCATATTCAAACATAACTTTCAAATATATATATTTTTTCAACTTCAACTTCAATTGATCTAATTTTTCAATTTTACTCAAATATTATCCAAATGCCAACAGTAAGTTACGTTTTTTATGTTATGCAATTAAGATTAAAATCTAAAGTTGGCATAGAAATAGGTACAAAATTAAATAAGATTATCGATGTAGGAATGCGGCAAAACAACGTATAAATAAATTATACTGCTAAAATATTAAACTATATTTAACTTTTAGATCCAAATGCCAACAATAAGTTTTTTTAATGTTATGTAATTAAAATTAAAACTAAAGTTAGGCATAGAAATAACTACAAGAACTAAATACAAGTTTAGGGGTATGTCCATGTATTCAGCCTATAAGAAACTACAATTAGCGGTCACCAATACTCCTTTTGTTGTGAAAAGGCACATGGATAGCCGACACCAATTAGCATGACAAGTAGATGGAGAGTTGACACTTGTCAGAAGAATGTGCTACCGGTTGATGAGATAAACAAGGGACAATGACGTGAAAGTGTTAAAAACTTTTATGTAGCAGCTACTATAAGATTAGTTTCGAGTTAATCGTATTGCTCTGTTTTGTCCAAAATACAAAAATACCCTTATTTATGATAAGCAGACATGTTGACCTTGAGGTGCATGTATTCTCTCTTATTAAGAAATAGTAATAGTAATGTGCTACTGGTTGATGAGATAAATAAGGAACAATTTCGTAAAAGTATTAAAAACTTTTATATAGCAACTATAATAAGATTCGTTTCGAGCTAATCGTATTGCTCTGTTTTGTCCAAAATACAAAAATACCCTTATTTATGACCGACAGACATGTTGACCTTGAGGTGCATGTATTCCCTCTTATTAAAAAGTAGTAATAGTAATGTGCTACTGGTTGATGAGATAAATAAGGGACAATTTCGTGAAAGTGTTAAAAAAATTTATGTAGCAGCTACAATAAGATTCGTTTCCAGCTAATCGTATTGCTCTGTTTTGTCCAAAATACAAAAATACCTTTATTTTTGACAGGCAGACATATTGACCTTGAGGTGCATGGATTCCCTCTTATTAAAAAGTAGTGTCACGACCCAAATTAACCATCTGTAAGGCGTCGTGATGACACTTAGTCTTTACGACTAGGTAAGCCTAATATTACGAAAAATATAAAGAGAACACAATATTTTTAAAGATAAACAGCATATTGTGAATAGCCAAGAGTAGTACCACTCGGCATATACAAAATAATTTTCCAAGACCCGGAATATCATTAAGTCACAAGTTGCTATAATCTATGTAGCTCTATACAAAAGTGTGAAGATAATAAAGAAAGTCTCTAGGCGAGGGAGTAAAAGGGGACTCCGAAGATCTGCGGACGCAAGCAGTAGTACCTTGAAGTCTCCTAGAATCAACAACACGCACTAACCCCGAGGCTGATAGCTCGCACTTGGATCTGCACACAAAATCATGTGCAGAGAAGGGCATGAGTACACCACAATGGTACCCAATAAGTGTCAAGCCTAACCTCGATCGAGTAGTGACGAGGTCAGGTCAAGGCCCTACCAGAGTAAATATAATAAATTAAACAGTAAAAGATATAAGTAAAATTTACGGTAACACAGTTAAAGAAATTCTCGAAAATTTAACAGTTAAGGGATCCCTCGGTTCAGAACAAGGTAAACACATTGGGGAATATCCCGGGATACCGTCCCGTAGTTCCAAATGAATATGCAGTACATGGGGATCTCCCGAAATACGTCCGTAGTCCCAAAGTAAATATGCAGTGCTGGGGGATCTCCCAGAATACGTCTGTAGTCCCCAAATAAATATACAAGACATGGGGATCTCCCGGAATACGTCTGTAGTCCCAATTTAAATATGCAATGCAA